CCAATTGTGTAAATAATTTTCAAAGAATTAACGTTCTGTCGCACAATTAGAAAAGCATCAGTTTCATTGAAAAACTTCCACTTTTCGAAATACCCGTTCCTGTTTGCCGTGACTTATCTTTCCTTTTCTATATCTCAGACGTAATTTCTTTATTTTATTTATCAATTCCTTTAAGGTAAACCATTTGTATCCCTTTTCGTCAAACTGAGACTGTAAAATAACACAGCATAATAATTTTCTTTAAATAACTGGCATATAAATAATATACTTTGTACAAACTTTAGTCCAAGTGAAAACAGTAGATAGGCAGTTAAACTTCTGCTAGTTTGAAAATTCATTTGTTCATGGCATCCATTGGCATATGTAAATTACATGGTAAATCTGAATGGATTGAATCACGATATCCAATTGATAAAGCTGAATGCCTGTATATCCGGTTTAAAAACACCATTTTTCCGCATGGTTTGTGGATTTGTGCATCATATTTGTTTACATAATCACACGCTTTATATATTAATAATTAGAAAAACAATATTAATGAATGTATAAATCATATCTTCAACTTCAATGACTCACCAGAAATATTTTATACACGTTAGACGTTGCTCGCGCACTGTTGAATGCATTCAATGATGCTCGGATTGTTTCTTCTGCCTACAATGATATTGAAAATGCGTTGCTTCGTCCGACCACAGCTTTCCTCTTGTTTTAGCCGACATATTTCTTTTTAATGCGCTTGCGTTAAAAAAATTTGGGTCCGTGTGCCATGTTTTTGGCGTGCCGAGACAACCTCTGAAGATGGTCTCTGTACGCCAAAATTTTTGGCATGCGGACCGTCTGAAACCGTTTACGACAAAATTTAAGACTGCCGGGCCAGTATTTGTGGCCCGCGGGCTAAAATTTTGTCTTTTTCTGCCAAAAATAGTTGTCGTGTAAACGTGGCTTTATAGTAAATTCGTTGACATATTCTCTTATAAAACGCAATGGTTCAACTCCGGAGACATGCAGCTAAATCCACACATCATTCAAAATTTCATACGTCATAATTTGTTATTGATATTGTATCAAGTAGCGCTCATAGCGCGTCTTATAGGCATAATTATTTGGTTGTTTACAACGAAATTTATTAGTGCTTTCTTGTGTTGAAATATTGCTTCGTAAAGTAAGAAAATATAAATTTATCTACGATTTAATAAAATGTTAGAGTCATTCTCATATTATATAATTTTTTTGATGTATCTGATCTCTGTAATGCGATAGTGCATAATTTATAACATTTATGTCATTAGACACTTTTTACACTCCCTGGATCTACCCTGCTATTTACAAGAACTACAACTGGCCTACCACAAATTCATAAAGATGCACGGGGCAGCAACAATGCATCATTGAAAACTAAGTAGAGGTGCAGATATTAACCAGCTTAAACACGAATTTCAGATTGTCAAGGAATGCAGTTTTGTTATCTCATTTGGATAATTACTCCAAATATTCCAAGCTTAATTGCTCACCCAATTGCATCACAAGCTTAAATGCACCAAGTATGACTATCATGCTTTTAGTTCTACATTATTATCTCCTTGTCTGTGATTAGTCCTTATAAATTCTTGGTACAATCTCCACAGCTCGTAAATGAGTTTTGCTTAAAGGACATTGGCAACGAAAGTTTTTTTTTCATACGTTTATCATAGAGACATGGAATACTTAATTTCCTGTTTTCGTGTCTCTTTTGAATTTTGCTGTTGAGAAAATTTGACATAAAGTTGAATCTTTATTCGCCAATTTGGAAAAAAAGCTTTATGCTAAATTATGCCGGACTACATTACTGACGTCATTGGCTGGTATCCACTGAATTACACAATATAAAATAATAGTATTATAATAATATATAGCACATTTGTTCACTGGAATTTTAAAACAAAAACAACAGTCGGCGATTGTTAAGATTAACAAAAGTTGTGTAGTTTATCACGCTTATATACTTTTCCAATATTTAGTCGTTATAAGACGTAGAAACAATTATTTTAGCAGATCTTACAACTAGGCTTAGCCGACATACCAAGTGTAAGCCCAGACAACAACAAACAAGCGTGTTTTATACACTGTACATTTCGTGCAATAGAAATATTTCATTTTCCCATATTACAAACCTGTGACCAACAAAAGAGTTATACGTTTAATTTATTATTTGTATACATAAGAGTCTTTGAAAGATTATGTAGTTTTATATAGGTGATAAGCTCTAAGCCGCTATGTTTTGTTCTTGACTGTAGAGTTTTGTTTATCCGTAATGTTTTACGTGCGTGTTTGCGTGCACAATGTACAAGTACACTTTTCGATTAACTTTATAACTTATGAATGAATACAAGTTTTTGGGTGGATCACTCATGCATTTTGCTTTTGTGCAGTTTGTGACAAACCTTCGACAATGATATGGCATCGCAATTGCAGATAATAACAAAGAATTGACTCTGAAGATGACTACCGCTAAGGTTGTTGAAACGTCAGTCAACAACAACAAAAACAGTCCTTCTCAGGACTTTATTAACCTGGACGATCATCATTTACAAACATATAACGATACTCCCGGGTTCAAACCATTTACTTTATAACAAAGAACATCAAAGAGCGTCTGTCTAAGGCTTTAAATTTACGGTCTTTCGTGATAACATGCGTTTTTAAAATGTGTATAAAGTCCGTCTGGTGACGCGAAGTGTTTTCGTATGCTAGCATAAACACAAGCCGAAAATTGTCTTCGATGTTTATTCAATAAAATTTGAAAAATCCCCCTAGAACATATTTGATATGCGACTAATCGATACAGCTTGTGTATTCTCTCCAGATCCTCATCAGGCAGGGGCTAGTTTTCTTCAAGATACCGACAAACGTCTATCTTTAACACACTTTCTGACGATCGTGACTAAAACACCACACGAGTACATACGAGTACATACGAGTAACAGTACCGGATTTTAATTGACTTTTATTGAGCTTTCGACTCGTTGCTTCGAGCCTTCATCAGAATGAGGATATTTATTTACACGTGCTTTTAGCTTGGAGACGTTTAGAGCGTCTAGTTGGATAAGTGGGTAGATTAATGTGATTGGATGGGGTGAAATGCGTTGCCATGGGTTTTGGTGTATTGTTAATATGATTGGTGTTAATAATATTAGAGTGTAGTGTTTTAGTTTTGGTGTTGTTTGTAGTTCCCTGTCCCCCTTCTTCAGTTGTGAGCATATGATGGGCATGTCGACACGTCTGATTATTGTGTCGTTGTCTTTACTGTACCAAGCTTCTTTAAATTTGCGTGCATGTTTGGTCTGTGCGCGTCCGAGTACTTTAGTTTCTGTCCAGTCAAGTGTGTGTTTGTTCCCGTGGGTATGTTCTGCCGATAGTGAGTTCGGATCTCGTCGTTTTATTGCGTTTTTGTGTTCTGCGAGTCTTGTTTCAATTTTTTTAGATGTTTGTCCTATGTATTGCTTTGAATAGTCTTTACATGGTATCATGTAAATCGCAACAGTTGTATCATGAATTGTTGTTTTGTCTTTATGTTTGGTGAAACATGATTTGAGTTTTTGTGTAGGTTTGTGGGCGACGTTAATATTAAATGGTCGAAGAAGTCTGGCAGTCATTTCTGATGTTCCGTTTATGTATGGTAATGTGACGAAAAAGCACGTGTAAATAAATACCTCATTCTGATGAAGGCTCGAAGCAACGAGTAGAAAGCTCAATAAAAAATTACTTAAAATCCGAAGAAACTTTTATCTTCTATGTATGTATATATAAGTTTGAAAATTTGTAATCCAAGCGTTGAGTACATAAAAGATAAAAGTTTCTCCGGATTTTTAATTGATTTTGTTGAGCTTTCGACTCGTTGCTTCGAGCCTCTATATATATATATATATATATATATATATATATATATATATATATATAAGGAGAAAAATACACAAAACTACAATTTCATCCCGACAAGCCTGTTTCGTGATTGCTCACTCTTCTGGGGATTTAATGAATTCATTAAATCCCTGAAGAGTGAGCAATCATCGGGATGAAATTGTTTTGTATTTTCTTCTCCTTACCAATATTACGCTCTGCTCTCGGGCATCGAGCACTGTTTTATACGGAAAATCATAAATTATAAACTTCCTATATATATATATATATATATATATATTCATGATTACTTATAATTTAGTACTCTAATGATATCTTAAGAGTTACGACGAAACGTTCCGCTATTGAATAAAAACATTTTTTTGTACATTCATTTTATTGGGCTTTAATAGATATTATTCATCGCAATCATAGTTTTTATACATATAAGGAGTGTAACACTTGCTAATAACAAAACCAGCGCACATTCATTACCATTAAAATTTAGTGTCAGTAATGATAATATGCACTGAAAAAGTGCACATTGCTTTTGGTTCTTGATGGATTTTCCTTAAGTGGGGTACCATTGCTCTCATGATTTTCTTGTGATGTTTAAGGTAAAAAAAATATAAAATACATTATTCGTGTATAAACAAGCATAAGCAAATGCTTGCTTTCGCTTTTTTTATTCTCTGTACACCGCTTTTTCAGTCTTATGCATCGATCATAAATTACATATTTGCGATACTCTCTTAGGGTAAAAGTTTATTTTTGCATTTTAAGCGCCAAATTTTATTCATTGGAAAGTAACACCTAATGTAGTAAATTGTAAGAAGTGATATATTATATGAGCACTGGAAATTCTCGTTAAACGATTGCCTTAACTTTGAAAGTAAAAATATCGTCGGTTTGTTCTCAGACGTAGATTACGTCAATACAACAAGCTTAAATAACATATAGATAAGTTACATGTTTGTAAATGTAGATCGTCCAGGTTGGTATAGTCCTGAGAAGACTGTTTTTGTTGTTGTTGACTAATGGCTAGGTATGTTGCTAAATAATGACTATGTTAAAAATGGAGTTTCGTTGTTTGTAGCAATGTTATGTTATCTTGTTTCACTTCATTAGTTGTACCATTTATCTGTTAAAAGTTCTAATAAGAACGATGCAAGAAAGCATAAAAGAATTATTCTGCGTGAATTCTGCGGTACCGCTTTAGGCTTCAGAGCTGTAAGTCTCATGTGATCTTTCTACTTTTGTATATATATTTGTTTTTTATTTTTACAATTGGAAATAAAACGAAACCTAAAGTTAAACAATGAACTTTATAGAAGTGAAATAAACTTTTTGTCGAAAGTAGATGTCGTCTTTTTGTTGATAGAAATGAATACATAGCTATATCTTACCTGATTTAGATGTAAATTTTAGTTTTCTTTTGTTTTTTAGAACGTATCTCACAGTTGTGGAACTTCCAGTCTTGGGAATCCTGTTATATAATACAGATTGTGGGTGCAATACCTCACAGCTCTGTGGTGGTATTTTATCTAACGCCGTTGTAAGAAAGCCAGACCTAAAAAAACATGTATAAAGATATAGCACTTACTAAATAGTCTTTGAAACATGCCCCAATTCCTAAAAAACTTTGTACTTCAAATTTTTCATTCTTTTATCAGAAGAATTTATGAAGACACCTGCATAACCAATTCATCTGGCAAATGCCTTATTTAATTGAATTTTATCGAATTTCTGAATGAAAACTACTTTAAATTGTTTATAGTAGCTACCATTCCACTTAAATTTGTTTATTTATTTCATTAATTTTTGTTTCATTTCAATTAAAAAAGAAAAAATAACCCGATAATATTTTTTTTTAAAATACACGTGATACTCAAGCATAATTTTTATTGTTCAACATTTTTTAAATTTCATTGTTTAATAGAAAGTTGAAGACGTGTCCAGTGGTATAGGAAGCAAGTGAATTTTGGGAGAGAATGATTTATGTTTTTGCGATATTTTTTTTTTATTTAAAAACAGAACTCTTTGGAAAATTATAGCTATGTTTTTGCGCGTTTTATAAAAGTTTTATTAGTATGTATGCGTAGGTGAAACATTGCTTAAGAGTGTTTGTGTAAAAGGGAGTTGTATGCCTAAAAAAGGCAATTTTGCTAAATTTCATAAAAATTTTAGGGATTGCATATTTAAAACATGAATAAATGATATATTTTAAGTCTTCTTATGGGCAAACAGATCTAGTAACACAACGTTTTAATAGATGTTGACCATACAAAATTGTTATAAAAATTTTCTTCTGCAGCCGGTTGTAAGAAAGGCGTTTAAACTAAACGACGCTTAGTCCCCATACACCGTATAAATTTCTTATCAGGAGGATAGTTAAACGGAGGTTAAATTTGCATTGCGCGAAAGCCGTTTGGCGTAGCGTTTAACACATTGAATTCTGTAATGGATATCGTAATGGTTATGTAAGCGGGTATCTCATGCGCGGCTTTAAATAATTGATGTTGTAAAAAACATGGCAGATTTCGTACTCTGCCGCTGAGATTTACCGAAATTGACCGCTTTTCCGAAAATTTCACAATTTCCCACTCCCTCCCGAGGAAAGAGTTAGGAAAATGTATGTGTGTATTTGGGATTCGGCAAACAACTTTTTGGTGAAAATCAATGTAACAACCTAAAATTCATAAGAGCGAGTCGACTGTGGTTGTCAGTTATCGGCTCCTATTAGGATTCCTTTTATAACTATCGACGAAGGGAGCTGTTTGTCGGCTATGTATGAATGCTGATGTGCGTCGTTTTAATGCCAGCGTCAAACTTGTTTGCTCTTTAAACACTTTAGTCTATATAAAAATATAGCATTGCTTGTCTCCAAGTTCATGCAGTGCAAATTGGCCTTTTTTTCTGCAATTGTAGGATTTGTACTTGTTTCTTTAAAAAGATGAATAATATGTCTTTAGATATTCACGGCTTGACATTAAGTATATGATTTTCTTGAAATTAAGTATATGATTTTCTGTTTTTTAATTGAATTTCATGATGAATTTCAAAAAGACTCAATTTTGCATAAGTTTGAATAATGCCAACAATTAATATTGTATACAAATCAGTAAGTAAACTTTCTGGAATGTTCTGAAGTGGAACTGCATCAAATACCTGTAAGGTTGTAGCTTATTTTGACTTTGTTGTATTGGTATATGAATTAGGCAAAATGCAAGTAATTATGAAAACACTTGTGCTTGAGGTGATGATTATAATTAAATTGTGTTTTTAATACTTATAATGTTCCTTTTCTTTTCCTTTTGTCATTCATATATTAGCAATGTAAGTGCAAAAATTGAAATTAATACAGTTTTCACCTCATATTCATAAATATGATTTCATCCTGTAATTCGTGATTGCAACATTTTGAATACCTCACAAGACTCTTTAATGGCGTAGTCCAATGTCTGAATAGAATTTAAAAGCTAACCCTGATTTACCTGTTACTTAAAGTTTGATTGTAATTCTATGAGTTATTAAACACAGAAACTAAAGAGAAGCCAGCCCATCATTACATTTGTGCAGCCTTAAACATTACTTGGTGTATAATCTAATTGCAACAGCCTATTTTTGTTAATGCAGTTGAAATCTATCGAATCTACAGAACTGCAGTCAAACCTCAACTCAAACGTACGTTTTGTTTATTTTTTAAATTATTTCGGTAAGGTATATTTTTTAGCAAGAACATCATTTGAAACAGATGGTTTTATAATTTTTTTTCAAGTGGACACGAAGAACTGGGTGTTTTATTTTAATAAGATATGTTTTTAAATTAGGACATATTTTGAAAAAGATGATTTTAGAATTGGTCAAGTGGACAAAGAGAACTGGGTGTTTTTATTTTGTGCCTATTTTTTGTAGTTTGCTGATAAATTGGATGATGAAGGTCTAATCAACGGTAGGCTTAAGTAAGACGGGAATCTAGTTTGCAATATAAAAAATGTTTTGTTTGGTTACATTTTAGATACAATGTTTTCGAAATACATTAAGACTTTTTCCACATACAAAGAAGTTTTGCTTAATATATTCATTAAAATTGAGTGATTCGTCTGGAGTTTTAGTAGAATTATTTTCGATTTCGAATTAAACTTATAACTTAATATGTACAGGCCATTGAATTCTATAATAACTTGACCGGCTATCTCTATCACGGCTTTATATCGGACGACGTCATGAAAATGGAGAAATTCGTCTTTGCCGATGAGATTTACCCAAATTGAGTGCTTTTCAGAAAACTTCACAATTTTTCACACCTTTGAAAATTAAAAGAGTGAGAAAGAAGTATGCTGTGTATTTGTGATTCAGCTGGCAATTTTTAATGAAAATTATGGTAAGAAGTAAAATTCATTACAGCGAGTCAAACTGTGCTTGCCAGTACCGGCTACTACGAGGTAGGCTTTTTACAATTATCGACAAGGGAACTATTTTTTTGACAGATAAGAAATTTTAAATGAAGTTGTGATATGGATCACTACTATCTTAGTCAAGAGACCAGATATAGACACCAGTGGGAGGTCGAGAATATTTTTTCAGTCAGTATAGTTCTGCACTTGCTAACATTTCGAAATATCGTTTTAGAAAGTAACAATAGCTCTAAGTCTTACCGTTGTCCGAACAGAAAAGAAAACTTCTATTTATGCGAGGTGAATACAGTACATCTTGCTAAGAGATGTTATTATTTCTATCGCCAAGAACAGCTTTTGCTTTATCAGCTCCTTGGCAATACGCTAAAATAGAGTTGTTGCGTCCAAGGTTTACTACACACGGTTGCTTAAATTCTACGTAGTTACATAAGCCTTTCAAGTGGAAAGTCATGTGCTGCGTTGCACCGGAGTCGATAATCCAGTCTGAATTCCTTGTAATAACTGATGAATTTGAAATCAACGCAAAACCATTACTTTTTTCTACAAGCTGAACAGATTTGTTTCCCTTAATGATTGATGATAAATATCAAGAAAATTCGTGGAAATTATTATTGATGTTATAAATGTTGGTGTATTTTTTGAAGTGGAGCTACATAATCATCTCACTCCGGTTAGCAGAATAAACTTTCTTTTGTTCGTGTACTATATTCTTGTTACCTGCTTTCTCGAGCATAAAAGTTACATGATTTTGTATTGCCTTTAATGCAATTAAATAGAACATAGATGACAGTTTATAAATTTAAAAGAGTAAGAGGAAATTACTTTGTGCAGTACTAATAATAGTTTACGTTGTTATTGAATAATGTTTTTAAAAATATCTTCTTCATAGATTCCAGAGGAGGTTCTCAAACTTCAACAGGCACTTAGAACATTGAAAAGTCTTGACTTTGCAAATACTACGCTTACGTAATCTATGGGAATAAAGAAATGCTATTGGCGAGCTTAATCACGTGACAAAATGTGATTGGCTAGCAAAAACAAACTAGCAATGGCTGATTAATTTTGTTAAAATTTTGTTATAAAAGACGAAGTACAGATCAATGTTAGAAAACAGGGTTTTTTCTTCTCTTTTTGTTCAAATACATCCACTACTTCAAGTAGGCATTCTGAATTTTTTTTATTTGCCCATTAAGGGATACATTCAGACAAGTATTTAAATGAATTCGCCGTTCTTTGCATTTAAATACAAGAAATTTTGTGTGTCGTCGACTCCGCACGTATTTCCTCTTAAAGATCATAGCTTTCAATCAATGAAATTCCTCAAATTCTTCTGGTTATTATATAATTAAAAATAACATTGAACTCTCTTTGGGATTCTCATTTAAAGCAAGTGGTCCTATGCATTAGCAGCAGTTTATCCATCGTTAGTCAAAATAAATTACATAGCTACTTAGTTCTAATTTCAAAATATATTCAGAATAAAACTTTTTGTTTTGAGTTTTTTAAGATTATTCTTTGATTAATGAACTTGCGTTTGAGGTGTTTGGATGTATGTAAAAAAATCAAAAAAAGTGTTACAGTAAGTTATTTCGACATACCTACACTTGATCCGCCACTGTACGTTACTGACGTAATCCCATTGAAAAAAATTACTCAATGTTCGCGTAGCATTAAAGGGAAAAGTCAATGATGTTAACTTTTTTTGTTCTATACAATTTTCTCATACCTTTCAACATTTGCTGATCTTGGCATCGTGCTCTTTTCTATAAATAAAAAAATAATTACGTTTCAAAGTACGAAGTAAAAATTTCGATTTATGTACGAAAGGATTAGAAGGCAACATACTAGAGAAGATTAAAAAAAACACTATTTAACTATTAAACCAAAATTTGTGGAAGAATATCTGGCTTAATTAATAAAAAAAATAACAAAGCCGAATGTAATAAATTCTATTGACAAAAAATGCAACACATTTTAATTAACAGACTAGAATTTCTTAAAAATTTGTACGGCAATATTAAGCCGATGGGCTGTTCAGTTTTGCTGTTACTATTTTCATGACATAGTAACTGAGTGTATTGACAACGATCTTCTTGTGAATGCAATGACTTAGAATTCTTAGGCTTCTCCCAAATAAATTGAATATTGCAGCTATTATATTGTAACTGGTCTCTAATGCCATATTTTATGTTCTGTTCATCAAATTATATTCACAGCTAAAGTCATAGTTCTGCTGAATCGACTCGGACTCACTCCTTCAATAAAAAAGTGATTCTCTTAATACCATGGTGTCTAAAGTGTGAAAAAATCTTCTGCAGTAGTTCATTTAAAACAAAATTTTAACATTTCGTACAGGTAATATAATGGTGTGTGTGAGTGTGAGGTAGGAAAAATGATAACCTCGATCAAAGCTAGGCCTAATTACCTAGCCGCACTGTTATTGCGTGCGAATACGTGGATTAAGCGCTTGTGCAGGACTATAAGCGCGAGGTTAGGCTTGAAAAAAATGAAGAAAAGTGATAGAATCGCAGAAAAGTAAAAGATCGAGTTTTTGGTAATAAATAAGAATTTTAAAACGAGCGCTCGCTGAGGGTTGTGTTGTTCTCATGCCAAGGTTGTTCCACTGCAATATAAGCTCATCCGTAGATTGACGAATGCGAGGCAAGAAACTGTAGTGCAGTATCAATATGTCTAATTCATTGTTGCGGTCAAGAAACGCGTGCTGTTCCATGTGCTAAGATATATCTCTATACAAGCAGATGACCACCTTGTTGACTTCTCTCCACAGTTTTTTGATTCTGTTATTGTGGACTCTCCTGCCTGCGATAAAACTGCCCCCTGTTGGTGCCACGTTTAGAAACCATAAAATGTGCAGCATCGTAAATTTCGATTCCTTGGTCGCCACGAACTATTTAAGTAGTCCATATTGAATAACTCCATCTTGGAAGTAACGAAGGGTCTCGAAAGACAAATTAATGGTCATGCTATGCAAGTAAATTATTGCTCTACTATAACCATTAAAACATCCATGAAACACAAACCGCCAAGGAATTAGTTTAAGGTTAGAATCTATGTGGCATAAGCAATTAGTTGATTTGACATTGTACACTCTTCTTTGAGCAATACACCCCCACCGAACAACTCGTCCTTTAGGGTTCACAACTTGAAGCCGCTGTCTCACCCTCCAGCGCTTTACCAGCACACCCCTACCTCTCAAACTACCTCAAATGTAGCTCTCACCTGCTTTTCGTGTCAAAGCTAATACATCCTTATATAATATGTCAAGTTCAACGTCAGTAATGTCAGAATATCGTACGTACAAATCAAATTCTTCTACTCTCCTGCACAACGTTCTTTTACTAACGTTGATAAATTTTGCAATCTTACTCCAAGTCATTGAAGTTTTGCAAAGGTATTCCAACTGTTGTTTAGTGATTATAAATTTTAGGCGTCCTTCCATTCACCTCCTGAGGAGTGAGATATTGCGAACTTTGCAACAACGACTGGTCAGGCCAGATTTTTTTCTTTGACTTCATTCCATTTGCTATAAGCAAAGTCAAACAATTGCTTTAACAATACAACTACATCGTTTTTCCAGTGTATTTTATTACTTCACATGAGCTAATCATTCCAAAAGAACTACGATGAAATATATTCTTTCCATGTATTCCGTGAGCATGATGTTAGTTACTGTGTTCAACAAGTCGTTGAAATCTCTAAAATAATTTTCTAACTCGTCTCTCGTCGCCATGCTTAATTGGTCTTGATATCAGAAATTCGCATACTAGTACTGCAAAATTTAAAACTCGCCCTCAAGAAAAAAACCCGCATTCGAGAATCAAAACATCGCGTGCGAGTGTTAAAAACTCGTCCACGAAAATTAAAAACTCGCGTGCCAGAATTAAAAACTTGCGTTCCGGAATTAAAAACTCGCTTGTGAGAATTAAAAAACTCGCCTGCGATAGTTAAAAACTCGCCTGCGAGAATTAAAAACTCGCTTGCGATGACCCCGAACATGTAAATTTAATTTTCAATTATAGTACTTATTGCATAACTGAGACCCATCAGCGATTTGTTAACGTGACATAGGCTAAAAAACAATGAAATTCGTGACGTTTAGGTGGTTCACTCAGCCAAAGATACTCGGGACTGTTGCACCAACTGATGCACTTTTCCATACCGTGACATAGCGACGCACTATCTAGCCACTGTGACGTTGTAATATAAATGCAGCTCAGTTTTAGTGAATGATGAAACAAATTTTCCCTAAATATTTCGACACAAAAAACGCCATTTAAGACGCATTTTTTAATAATGCGGCTATACTCAAAATGATACTCACACTGCGAACTGTAATATAAACTGTGGATATTATAGTTCACTGTACTCACGTGTAAAAAATCTACGAAGGCTTTAAACTAAATATCTCAATTATCAATGTACATTTGTTGTCTAAATATTGTCAGTGTTAAGGTAATTAAAGCATTTACAAACTGCAAACATTCCAATATGCTATATATCATGCATTTTGCTTTTACTGATTGTACGTTGTACTGATTGACTGTTCATTTTTATGACTGATGCACTCACATCAGTTGCATCAGTTTGGATCAGCCCCTGGTGACTGGCAAAATATATAAACTTAAAAGAACATCTATAGCATATAGAATTTACAGTGGATTCAACATTATTGAGTCTCCATAAAGTCCAAGGATTCTGTCATTCACAAACTTCCAAAAACATGCAATGAATTGCAAAGTGTGCCCAGCCATTTATTGATGATATGCAAATTATCACCTGCTGTAAAAACTATAGATTTATAAAAAGCAATCAATTAATGGTAATATTCCAACAAAATCAGAATACTACGAAAATTGGTGATAAACAGACGTAGTCACAACAATATTGCAAATGTCTATAGTACATGTTTCTTTATATACTAACTCTATTTAAATAATTCATTCATTATATTACACCAAATATTGCATAAGTTTTCCAAAACATGTGTGCATTAAAAAATTTAAACAAGTTGTCGTTTACGTTACATTCCTCATTTCAATCGCGCCACTGCAGAATTAAGAAATAGTTTAAAATCAAATGTACGAATGTTCATGATGTGATTTACGCCAATCAGTGCTTTGAAATTGATTATCTATCTTGAGTCATTTTTAACATTGCGCCACAACCCTTATGTAGCTAGAGGGGTTCAACTCGCCCAATCAATTCTCGCATAAAACTCAAAAGCAAAGCTCAAAATAATGATAATATTCACTGCTACCTTGATTTATATATGTTTTCAAATACAGACATGGTTTTCATTTTATTTATTTATAGAGTATAGTTAATGATCTCAGCAATAATTTCAAGTAATGTAAATAAACGTACCGGAATTGAGCCATTGCAACGTAAAGCTTGTTAAGGCCAACACCATAATCCATAGGATGAAATTACGTAGCTTTTTGTGTTTAAAAGAAAGACATCGGCATCTAAAATTATAAGCTGAAGTTATATCACCAGAATCATTACACATCAATTTTCATGTTCCATGTCCTTAATACTAATAGAATAAGCAAATACACGTTATTTACCTTTCGATAAAATTTTCAAGTGAACCTGATATTCCACGATCCATTAACAGTAACAAGATTAAGTTATCCCGAGGAATATAATATTTCTAAAAAACTTTGTACAATTTATACGTAGTTTGATTACAGAGTCTGAAAATCAGTGATGAACTTAGCTAGGATTGGTATTTGGATTTGACGAAGGGGAAAATTTATGCAACATTTATAGTAATTGCTGCCACGCAGCACACTATTTATCGATATAATAGAACTAGATTGCTGACGAGTGTGACGTAATTTAAGACTTATTAAAACGGGGCGACATTCATGATAAATTCAAGATGGCTCGGGAACAGGGCAAAAAACTTGGGGCTACTATTAGGCAATTGTTGTTTTTGGAGTTCACTTCGTTTCAGTGTCTTCAAACTCTTCCAATCAAATTTTATTAGAAACAAAGCGATATTAATAATGTTTTGAAGCCATATTGGACAGTTATTATTGGATCACGGGCGAAAATATCGCTTCCGAAGTTTTGTGTAAATTTGTCGTTTGGTTGTCCGAGGCGTTTGTCCATCAAAATAAACGGTTTCGTCTGCCTTAGCTCCCATACTCGTTCGTCCACGTTGAAATACATCATATTGAATACATACTACATCTATGACACTATTCTTGACATGACTTGACCCATTACCCCACGCGACCTATATACTGGTGAAACTCGATTTGTGTCTGTCTGTCTTTTAACAATTCCGGGGGGAGAGGGGTTTACGGAATAAGGGGAGCGCACAATCACAATAAGTTAGAACCTTTCAGAACTTCTGTAAGTTTCTATTTGATTTTAAATGTCTGGAATCCGAATAGATATGAAACCTAAACAAAGTAATACAGTAGATAATAAAATCGAGTGATCACCGACATCAATTATATGAATGTTTTTATGCAGTGCGGTGTTTGAAGTTAAATGAGAAATGATCTTCGCACTTAGCTGGACAATTTAAGCAATCGTCTCTGGACCTGAAAAAATCAGGTGACTCAACGGGATTCGAGCCCATGACCTCTGCGGTGCCGGTGCAGTGCTCTGACCAGTGAGCTATGAAGTCACACAGTGGTGAGCAGGTCAATATTGTTGGGCTGATGTTTTCTCTCGTGAAATGAATGTCATATGAATGTTTTTATGCAGTGCGGTGTTTGAAGTTAAATGAGATATGATCTTCGCACTTAGCTGGACAATTTAAGCAATCGTCTCAGGACCTGAAAAAATCAGGTGACTCAACGGGATTCGAGCCCATGACCTCTGCGGTGCCGGTGCAGTGCTCTCGAATCATGTCATGGGCTCGAATCCCGTTGGAGTCACCTGATTTTCAGTCTGAAAAATCCAGCTAATGAAGATCTCATTAACTTCAAACACACATAAAAATTCATATGACATTCATTGAAACAACTCTTTCTGCTCACCACTCATGACTTCAAATCTGATTCAGTCTGAATTGCTTAAAGATCATATCTCATTTGACATCAATTATACATATCTCGTTTGGCGAAAAACACATGAAATGGTTCACCGTGCCGTATTTAGCCAGGGGGTTCAAACGGCGAGAAAAATGTTGTGTAAACGTGTGTTTGTTTTCGTTGGAGCTTCTATTATGCGAGTTCAACCATGAAATATGAATTATGAATACGATGAAACGTTTGCACTTTGCGATAACTATACATGATTTTATCGCAGTTGCACAGAGTCATCGGAAGTAAGGTTCTATCAAAATATCATAAAGGAAATAATGGAAACAAAACAACAATTTTATAATATTGTCCGTTTCTACGTTTGTAAACATGCGTTCGATTGATCGGTTGAGTAAACAAAGTATCATACTATTAATCAAAAAGCATTTTAAAGACTCAAAAGAATAAAAACAATCAAGACATTTAAAAGAATCAAAAAATTGTTTTCGTTTGAAATGGTAATAAATTTATCTTTAAAATTATTTGAAACGTGAAATGAAATAAGATGTAAAGCACGGGAGCTACTTTTTGCCGGAAATCAACCGTCGACTTTCTGAATGCGTGCGTTTGTTTGCGTGTATTCCAAATAAGGTATGGCACGTTTCATTAAGGCCCGTTCACTCCATCCGATTTGTCGGATCCGATTTTGTTGGATCCTAAAAATGCTTCAGTATAATGCATTAAATATTAGTAACATTCAAACAACACTCTACTAAAGCATTTTGATAAAGATATGACATGATTAAACCATTAAGTTATATAAAACCCAATAAATTACACAGTAAGTTATCATCAATCTCAATACCAATGTTTACACAAACACAAACTTTATGGCCATCCCATTTTACATGTTTGTGAATTGACATTTCAATAATTTCTTCAAGCATAAAAACACGCACAACCTTGTTATCTTTCTTTGATACTTAACTTTAATACAAAGCATTCTGTAGTAGTAATATAATAATTAGCAAAAATGAATAAAATGAGATCGTGTGATAATAGAATATATAAAGCAAAGAAATTGAAAATGAAAGGTGTAATATTGTGAGATTTCTCCTTTTATTGCTTTGTCATATTACTTCTATACAGATCTTTACTCAATTATAATATACGTAATATGACGTACGAAATATTAATAATTTACATAATAACTATACTACACATCTCCCCAAACTAATTAAATATTTTTTTTGTATTTTGCATCTATAAGTTCGTATATGAAAATATTAATTGTTTCTTTTATAGCTAAATAGCTTTTATCTCTAAATTAACTTTCAACTTGTCCGTATGGAATAGGGTCTTTTCTTGTACGCTAAGGATACCGCCGTCCTTTTTCCTTTATACTTTCCTAAATGGGTTCTTCTAGACTTTTCCCATTTTCGATCTTCTTGAAAAATGAAGAATTACTAGTAAACAACATTCTATCTTTTTTCATTGTTACCATTGAACCTTTACTTTCCACGACTTCACATGGCTTACCATCATATGGTGTTTGTTGTTTATTAGTGGTCGTATCTTTCTTTACTAACACCATATCACCTACTTTAATCTCACTTGTCTTTACGTTCCTGTTATTGTCTGCATGTAATTTCATCTTCAATTTTGCTCTTTCATCCTGTACTCGAATTCTTTCCTCTGTATCTACATGAAATAGTTCTTCAGGTAAACGTACTTTCATTGGTCAACCGAATAAAGCCATAGATGGAGAGATTTTGGTCGAACTATGAGGTGTGGCACTATAATTTCGCAAGAACCTGTGGATTTCTTGCTTCCAAATTTTTCCCTCCATTATCGCAGCCTTTATTGTCTTTTTGATAGTACGCATAAATCTTTCCACTTCCCCGTTGGCTCGTGGCCAATAAGGAGTAAATCCCAAATACTTTGAAATCCCAAATACTTTGAAAACTCGTAAAATTCCTTGCTATTGAATGGCGGTCCATTGTCTGAACGTATCGTATCTGGTATCCCGAACTCCGAAAGAATCTTATCCAAACAGGGTATAACAGTCTTTGCGGAAGTTGATCGGCTTACTTCTACAATGGGATATCTGGAAAAATCATCATACAAAGCCAACAAATATTCACCTTTGCTTGTAGGAGCTACACCAAAGTCCATACTTAGTTCTTTCCAAGGAGATCTTGGCAACTCTGACATTTTCAATGGTTCCTTTTCACTGAATGGAGTTGTACATCTGACAGGCTAAACACGATTCAACTTTCCCATTAACTAACTCATCTATACGTGGAAAGCCGACCTTTTCACGTAATAACGCTTTCGTTATTGACATTCCAATATGACCTTAATGAGCAATGTTCACTACTTTCTCTCGTAAACTTTCTGGTATGATTATTTGATGTTTTCGTAGAATTATACCCGGAGATATGCAAAGTTCATCTTTAAGTTTCTCATATGAACTAAATTCTGCTTGATTTATTCCTACCATCTTTGAACTCTGAAACCATCTACCCGTTTCAATGGCTTGAATTACTGCTCGAAGAGTAATGTCTTCTCTTGTAGCTTCCTCCAGATCTTTCCTGCTAGTTGTTCTTGGAACCGAGTTCTGTGTAACGTAATTAACAAATTCTTCTGCTACTTTCTCTTGCCGGTTGTTTAGTTTCTCATCAGATAAGGGATGGCGTGAGAGAAAATCTGCAGGATTTTTAGTTCCAGGTTGAAAACAGATTTTAAAATCATATGGTTGCAATCGCAAAGCCGATCGTTCTAATCTCGCAGATGGCTTTGATGATGGATTTTTGTATATATTCACCAGCGGCTTGTGATCAGTGACGATAGTGAATTTTCCTCCAAACAAATATAAATGAAAATGTTCGCATGCCCATACTATGTCTAAAGCTTCTCTTTCCAAGTGAGAATAATTTTTCTCTGTGGTAGTTAGTGATTTACTAGCGTAAATAATTATTTTCCTTTTTTCTTCTCCCTTTTTCCTCTGCGCCAAGACTGCTGCAATACCAACTGGACTAGCATCTGTGAAAACCTCCGTATCACTATCCGGATCAAAATACGCACTTTCTGTCCCCTCTGTTAGTGCTTTCCGTAGGGCTTTCATTGTGTCTTTTTGTTCTCTTGTCCACACGAATGGGGCATCTTTCTTGATAAGTCGACGTAACGGCTCCGTAATTGTGGCATAATGTGGAATAAACCGACAGCAAAAATTGGTCATGCCTAACAAACTTCGTACTTCTCCTACATCTTAAGGATTTGTGCATTCCTTAATTGCTCTCACTTTATTGGGATCCGGCACAATACCGTTCTCTGAGAACACATACCCTTGGAATATTAAACTTCTTTTCTTAAACAGACATTTCTCCTTCTTAAGAGTTAGTCCTCGATCTTTAATTCGTTGTAATACCGCATTCAAATTTGTATCGTGATCTTTCTCGTCTACGCCAAACTCCATAATGTCATCACTGATATTAATCACGCCTCTCAGTCCATTCAACTTTTCTCTGATGGCATTTTGGAATACCTTGCAGCACAGTTTATTCCAAAATTCAAACGTCGAAATCTCTGTAGACCAAGGTGTGTTGAGAAGGTTGTCAAATATCTTTTTTCTGCATCGAGCTCTAACTGGTTATAGCCTTGATTTAAGTTCAATTTGCTAAACCATACAGCACCATTTAGATCACTTATGATTTCACCAATCGTGGGAG